AGACTGAACTGGATGATCATTAATGTCTTTTGCAGTTCTAACATCTTAAGGTTCATCTTCAAGATTACAGGTAAGCAACTTAAGGTTCTAATACTAGAAAATTTAATATGCAAAGTACCTGCCATCAAGTAGCTTACATAAGCAAATTTAGAGACCGTATGTAAATGCTAAGGACATGGCCTTTACATTTATCATAGTAAAAATTATAATTATCATAGTTGCTTATTTCATTCCTTATGCCTAAAAAACAATTTTACACTTATATCTGCAAGCATAAGGCTAATTTTAGTCTTCTGAGACAAGTAAATTTAAGACCAGCTAAGATTTAAACAGCTAAATGCCTTCATTTATGTTGTCTGCCCTTTACCTTACTACTCTCCTCTGAAATTGGTGCTGCCAGTACTTGGTTTTCCAAACCTATTTTTAAACTACTAATTTCACATTTCCCCTGGACTTTCCAATTAAAAATAGTGATAGTAAATATTCAGATTTAAAGTTGAACATACATATAATTCAAGGTTCAATTCCACATTTATCGAGTACTTACTACCTATAAAGCACTGTGAATGAAAATAAACACAAAAAAGCCTGAACATAAAGAAAAATCTAATCAGATTAAAAAATAAACTGTTAAGTTAAGGTGTCAACCTATTTTTGCAAGATGATGACAGAATCATAAAATCTTAGTGGTCAGATAAGATAAATAAATAAATATTTATTATAATTTCTATCATAATGCCTGCCACCAAAACTAACTTTACTTCCCAAGCTGCAATTGACAAGGTAAGAAAAACTCATTTGCTTGCCAGCTCTCTTCTTTGTCTTTCTCTCTCTCAATATGTATAAATGCACAAACACACAGATTTAGAATGACAAGCAGCTTACAAATTAGTATGAGAAAATGCCACAGGTTTCCAAATGTTACCTAAAATAGAGAAAGAACACAATCTTTTTATGATGACAATGACAATAAAATACACATGCTGTTTTATGTACATATTTAATCTTTTAGTGAATAGTTAATACAAATTGTAATATCTAAAAGACAGTGCCTTTGAAAACTTCACAAGTAAACAAATGGATGCTTCAATAAAACTGAGATTGTATATAGGCTATATAATATCAAAATATTCCATTATTGCATCAATAAATCAGTTTTAATAGTTTAATTTCATGTTACAGTAATAATTATGAATGAAACACTATATTTTCAGAGAACATACTAAAGTATAAAATGTGGGGGGAAAGGCTGCCTAAAATAAGGAAAGGAGGGACATTTAACTTTTAATTACAAAATACAAGAAGATTCAAATATTCAAAGTAAAGGATTTAAATAAGGCATAATTTAGTACAAAATTCCCCCAAATCTGGGTATAGTTACCAAGACAGGGCAACTTTCTTCAACCCTCCAATATCCAGGTCTGGTTCTATTGACAATTTCATGAAATGTTTCCTTACTGTAAGTCAAAGGTTATTTTCAATATGGAAGATATGGGAATCTATGTACCACAGTGATAGATGTCAAATAAAATTTTAGCAATTTGTAAACATGTAGATATATACACATATAATATGTGTTCTTTTAATATAAAACCTTAATATTAGATAATTCTCAAATTTAATGATAAATAAAGCTATAAAATCTTTATATAGCCCATCTCCATTAATACTGCAATTTACAAGTGCAAAAAACCACTAAGAATTCAAACTTAAATGAAACAGAAATTCAATAAATGTATCATTAGTGCACATAAACATATATATTCTCCCATCTCACTAAAATTATTAAAGGACCATATCTGAGAAGTGATAATTCTTATAACTTACTTATCTATGCTTGCCAAAGAAGTGTAAAATTCATAATAAAACTGAATAATCTATTGAATTCACCGATCCTGCGGCCTAAGGGTAAATATATTACTTTAGAACATAAACTATTGTTTCCTTATTTTAATCACAGAAATTCTTTTCATGTCCAAACTTATTAAAAATTAAGCATAAACACTATTTCTTGAAATGCAAATTTCTCACTTAACTAAGTTGCCTCACTTGTCTTACCTCCCTTTCAAATGAATAGCTAATTTCTTTGGCAAGACATTATTGTCTGGGTGAGACTCTAGCCCTGTATCTTACAATTAGAAAACTTATTTAAATATTGGTTGATTAAATAAATACTAGAATTAACACTATATTGCTAAGCACCATAAAAATCTTTAAGGATCTCTCAAGCGTTGGCATACATTGGGGGATGCAAAGGACCAAGTACAGTAGAATCTGAATGATGGAGATGGAATATTCATGTTTTGGTATCTGTAAACGTGAAGTATGCCTTAGACGACATTCTGTTATTATAAGAGGCGGTCAAATTAACTTACAAACTCTAAAAATGGACTGGAAAAATATTTTTAGACAATTTTAGAGATGACACCTTAATGTTTTGTTATCTGAGTAAGACCATTAAGAAGAATTAGGTGTGTAAGAAATCAAACACAGTATCTGATCTATTCAATTACTTAGAAGCCAAAAACCAAGATTGCACTGCTTTAAGTGTGAGTGTGATATAACCCAAACCCAGTTTTTCTGGAAGAGAAAAAGGTCACCTTGAAAACATGCCACACGAATTTAATTTGCAATTAGCTAATACCGCCTCCAAACCAACAGTTTCAACCTGACCACTCAAAGACCAAGAAGACCAAAGGCAAGAAACACACAAGAGAACAAGAACATTGATATGACTTCATGAACTACATACAAAATTTCTGCCTTCTTTCTCAGTTCGGGGGGGAAAAAACAGTGATTTAAGGATCTGGGGCAACTCCTAATTAAAATTCTCAAGGCTTAAAAAAAACTGACACAAAATAAAGTTTCCATAACAACGATGCAAGGAGATGCCTTATGCTAGCTTCCTCTGAAAAACAGCAAACCACTGTTATATAGTATCACATAGTTCGCAAAATACTAAAAATAGTTTGTTTTTTTTAAATGCAGTATAGGGCTGGATAGAGGAAGCAACTCCCATCGTTCAAGTTCACTTAAGAGGAGCGCACCTTGCATCGGACAAGACACGATTTCCTTGCACTAATTCATTCTCGCTCTAGCTTCTACAACTACTGTACTCCACCTGCACCAACACGTTCAAAACTTCACCTTATATAGTAGCACACTTTTCACCAAAGTCTAACTATGTTCAGTTAACCATCATCCAAGAAGAAACCCTGGGTTGAGTGAATTTTTTTAAAAGTTGTTAAAGAGGTAATTAAGTACAAAGTCTGGGCGTGGGGGAGGGGGGAAAGGAGGAAGGATGGTTAGTGATGTTCCTGAAGATGGACGGAGCCATATGGACATAGAAACCAGGGAGCTTGTCCAATTTCCAAAGAGATAAAAATCAGCGCGTTCTTTCCCTCATCCCGGCCAGCTGACCTCTGGCCTCGAAACTTAAAATTATCCCATCCCATCTCCTTTGGAACCCCACAGGGGTGTAGGGGAACTTGACCATGGGAGAAATCTGGGGGAATCCCAAAGTGTGGGTCTTCGCCTTCTCCCACCCCCAGCCCTCGGCGCTGTCACCGTGCTGAGGTGGGGGCGGCGCGGACCGCAGTGCATGGGGGGTCCCGGCGGGGTTCGGGGCTCTGCCCTCTCCGCGTTCCCCCACCCCCGCAGGGACCCCCGCCGCCCCGTCTCGCCCTCCCGTTACTCACCCGCAGGCGGGCGGCGGAGCCGGCGCCGCTACTTCTGCATCCTCCCGTGGGCGGCGCGGGCCGCTCCGCAGCCTCCCGAGCTCCGGCTCCGGGGCTCCCGGCGCCGGCCCGAGCGAGCGAGGGGGGAAGGGAGGCAGAGCCGGGCAGGGACCCGCCGCCGCCGCCTCGGCTTTCGCTCCGCACTCCCCGGGCTCCCGAGGCCACGACAGGCCCGCCCTCCCCCGCCTCCTTGCACGGTGCCCCCGCCGCCTCGCCGCGACTCCCCGGGCGCCTCGGCTCCAGTCCCCGGGCCCTCAGGCAACGGTAACGGCCCCGGCGGCAGCGGCGGCGGCCGAGCCCCAGAGCCGACAGCTGTGACTGCGGCGCGCGGGGGCGGCGCCTGCACGCAGCACAGCTGGGGGCGCTGCTCCCCGGGGCCCCGCCCCCGCCGCCCCCTCCCACCCACCCACACACCCTCGCGGCTCCACCCGGCTCGCTCGCTCCTACTCCAGCCGGCTCCCTCTACAACCACAACAGGAAGCCTGGAGCGCGCCCCCGCCTCACTCCCTCCCTACTTCCCTCCCTCTCCTACTCTGGTCCCGTCCGGCGCGCGCGCGCCCCGAGCTGGGAGAACCGAAGGGAGGCTCGCGCGCGCCCCAGGGGCCTTTCCAGGCGCGCTCCGCGGCGCAGCGGGGGTCGGGCTCAGTGGGTGGTGCTTCCAGAGGGACTCCCCCGACTTCTTTCACCTCCCCCATCCCTGCCCCAGGGTAAATCTTGAAAGGTCATTTAAGTCTCCAAGAGAAGGAAGGAGAGGAGAGAAAGCTAGTGGAGCTGGTCCCAGGAGCTCGGTCCAGGAGGGGTTGCCAGCCTACCGGGAGCCTAGCTAAAAGAACCGAACCGAGAGCTCGGAAGGCTCCGACAGGGGCTACAGGAGGCTCGGTCGGTCCAGACGAAGGCTATGAAGAAGTTCCAAAGACTCGAGTGCAAAAAAAAAAAATTAATCTGGCAATAAGCCCAGCAAGCATATTGCTAATTAATAATAGTAATATAATGTGAGGAGGGGAGAAAAGCGAGAAGCACATCCTTTCTACTCACCGTGGTGGCACATACACGCATATCTCCAGGTCTATGCATTTTATAGAGGGTACCAGAGGCATGGTTATTCTTTTGCTTGGGGGGGGGAGGAAGGGAAGAGGGGGATGCCTGAAGCTGTCCTATTCCTCTCCACTGCCCAGTCCCATGTTTTAAAAGCCCTCATTCCCCATGAGCTTCGAGGTCCTGGTATGGTTTATTACTCTCTTTATTTTGAAATAATCAGGCGCCGCTACCTTTTAACCGGTGTTCAAGTCAGGGGCTCCCGATTCCGGGCGCTTAACCCTAGCAGCCGTGCCCTGAGACTGTGCTGGGCTAATGAGTGCATCCCAATTTCCCTGGGCTATTGATGTTCCACTCTAGGTAGCCCGTACTCTTGGCCTTACTGTAGGTGAGGGCAAACTTTCTTGTGGGAGGGATACCTAGGTTTGAGAGGACAGACAGGACATTCTCTTTGCTGAGAATTTCCTGGAGCCATCTAGTCTTGCCTGTAAAGCAAGGCGTGGCTGGGCTATTATTTGTGTGAAGAAGAAACGGATCCCTTAATGGTGTAAGATTTTTCCTCTGTGCATTGTTCCCATTTCCGCAGTTTCACTTGGCCTCGGTGTGCTCCCAAAGTAATGCACAAGATGAAATTAGCTGAAGAGTGTTTGATGGCGCAGAATCACGGTGGGAAGATGTTTACTCTTGATGCCGGACACTTTTGATAATGTTTGGCTTGGCACAGTTAATTTCTGCAGTGTTCAGAAATGTGCCAGATGGAAATGTTGGCACGCAAATTACAGGGGTACTGGATACACACCTTCCTCTGGAGACCTGATTTTTTTAATAGCCAGAGTGAGATGTTGCAATTTCGAATCATAGCAGTTTCAGGTCAGTTTCTAGAGACATTAGTCCATGAAGTAGACTTAGTGAATGTTGTCCTGTGGCAGCTTCTACACTGGCAAAGCTTGGCATGTGTTTCCAACCTTTTCCTGTTGATGTAATAGTGAAATAAAATGCTATAGATTGTTTTGTTTGATGAAAAAAATAGTTCCTATAGGAGAGGTTAAAAAAAAAAGCACAGAACTAGTCTATGTGCACTAGCTACATGCTTGAGCTAGCTACGTGGATTTTCTCCCCTGGGCCTATCACTTCCAAGGAGTATGCTTTGGAAAATGTTCTGCCCTATTAAGACGAAACTGTGATGTGTCCCTTTTCCATTCTTGTCTTTCTCTACTTTGCATCCTCACCAGTCGAAGAAATACTATGCACACATAGTGGGAAAAGTTAGCAACTGGCTTGAACGTAATTGAAACACCCTTTCCCTGAGAATTTTCTAGTTTTAAAGTACTTTATATAGAAATACATGTTTTAGTGGCTTTTTAAAAATATCGTTGAAAAAAACACTCATGGTATCATGGGAGTTTAGATGGATGAGTTAACTTTGCAAATTAAAAAAATTTATCACTGCTGCCATGTGATTTTTTTTTTAAGCTGCCTCAGGTATGTCACTGTTCACAAACAGTAGTGTTGTAAACTTTTAATATAGACTTACAGGTGAAGGATAATGGATTTGATATTTATATACTAAAGAAAAAATCTTACAAATTCATCAGTGACTAGAGATCTGGGTATGACTAGCTCTGTACATGACCAATAACTCATTACTGAACACCTAAAAAGTCAAAGTATATGTATGGATTTACATATATGGGCTATGCAGCCCAAGTGAATTATCTCAACCAATTGTGGAAAAATGTGAATTAACTAATGGGAATTATTTAGATAATTTTCATTTTAATTGAGTTAGTTTTCCCTTCCACCTAGAACAATCTATGAATATCAATAACCTTCATTCCCCATGAGCTTTGCAGGTCCTGGTATGGTTTATTATTCTTTTTATCTTGAAATAGTCAGGCACCTCTACTTATTAATGAGTGTGCAAGTATTCAGCTTTTTCACCCTTTTTAAAAATGAGGGACTGCACAGTGATAAGCCACTAGCATGAGAATTCAAGTTGTGTGAGTTTTAGGTACTAATAATGCTGATGGACAAAAACTATTGTTTCTGTATATTAGAAAGATGCCCAAATTGAAAATAAAAGGTCACATTATGTAACAATAAATTAACCTTGTTCAGGATGTGAATGTGAATAAAATAGCATATCCTACAAAAAACTGCAAGTAGTAGACATATTGCTGGGTCAACAGGTCGATCTTGTTACCTGACTGCATTTTATAGACCTGTGTTCTTCCTTGTAGCTCTTCAGCCATTAGTATCATAGATTTAGGGGTGGAGGGACTTTGCAAGTCACTTAGTCTACTCTACCCCCTTATTTTGTAGATGAGAAAACGTGGGGCCAAAGAAGTTAAATGATTTGCCCCAGGTCACATTGATAGCAAGCATCAGGAAGATTTTAAAATTGGCCACTCTTCATTACAATCTGGTTCATTCTTCTTTCTTTTTTTAATTAGCTTTTCTGTTTTGTTCTAGTTTCTTTAGATATCTGCTATAACTTTAGGAGATATCAATGGGAATGTTTGGATGAGAAATGACCTCTCAGTCAAGCAGAAAATAATGATAATACCTGTGATGAAAGTTCTAGAAGTGAGGGGCTTTGTCCTTTGAAAAGATCAGTTAATCATGAAAGCCATGAACTTGAGCTGATGGTTTTTTCCTTTGTTATTAAATTACACGTATCTTGGCCCATTAAATTTGCTTCTCATATTGTGTGAGCTAATATGTACAGTGTTTATAAATCAGTGGAACAAGATACGGCAGAGTTCCTGGAAGAAATTTTGGAACTGAATAAAAATCTGCAAATTAAGTATAGTCACTAACAAATGTCAAAGCTTTTTACTAACCAGTAAGGGGTTGAGTGGAATGAAACTATTCCTAGTCTTAAGCCTGATTGATAAATGTGGAATTAAATTGGTTTACTTTGGAGCAATGTTTTGGACAAGATTCAAACTTATGATTACATCACTTGAAAAAAAAAAGACACGAGAGCTAATTTTCCCTCGGATTTAGAAGTCTTTACCCAGAGTACTTTGGAATTCTAAGAGATATGGAAAATGTAACAGACACTATTCTAGATAACGTATCTGTAGGAATCTGTTCAGAAGCTTTCTGCAGGGATAAAATGTGATTTTTTTTAAAGAAAAGTTTATGCTGAGTAGTAGAAATCCACAAAATACTTAATATCTAAACATTTTTTATCCTCTATATTTGCTTTTTTTCATTTCATCCCTTTGACATTAACCAAGGGAACTTGATATATTTGAAGGAGCACTGGGCAAGGTCTTCTGCTTAAACAAAGGGGCAACTTCCTTCAGCAGGCTGGAGGCAATGAGATTCATTCTATCAAAATTTATTAAGTGCATATTATGTGCCAATCAGCACCCAGTGCTTAGCACAGTGTCTGGTACGTAGAAGGCACTTATAAATGTACATGGTTTGATTGATACTTATTTGCTAAGAATATAAGGACAACAAGGAAGTCATCCATTCACTCAAAGAGTTTATGTATTATTGCAGGGAGGAACAACATGTGCATAGCAAATGAAATACAAAATGTATGCAGATTAATTTCCCAAGGAAAGAGGATGTGACACTTAGGTTGAGCTTCAAAGGAAGATGGAGATTCTATAAGGTTGAGTTGAAGAATGAATACATTCCAGTTATAAGTAATGACAGCCTTTGTAATGACATGAATGCTGGAGATGTAATGTTGTATACCAGGAACAGCAAGCAATCCACTTTAGCTGGAACGTAACCTTTTCAAAGAACAGTAATGTGCAATAAGACCAGATAGGTAGACTGTAGTCAGATTGTGAAGGGCTTTAAAAACCAAACAGAGTTCACATTTAATAATAAGCTGCCACTGAAGTTTCTTGAGTAGGGGAGTGATATGGCCAGACCGATGTTTTAGGAATAAAAATTTAGCACCTGTATGGAGGATAGACTAAAGAGAGGAGACATTAGGGGCTGGGAGCCCAGTGAGGAAGTTTTTCCAACAGTCCAGGTGACAGGTGATGAAGGCCTGAACCAGAGGTGTGCTGGAGCCAGCTCAAACCTCTTGAGCCAATTGTTAAATTTTCAGTGTGAGCATTTACAGATCAGAAATCAACGCTATAGGAGAGGGATAGATTTATTGTTTTGATGATTGACTAGATTTAAGAAAGTGATAGAGCAAAATGTTAATACTGCAGATTAAATTTAAAGGCATACCAGGGCCTACAATTTTTTTGAGAACTAGTTGTTAAATATTTTCCATCACATTCATGACCTGAACTAAAGGGTGAACTGAGAAGGGAGAGGTTGGAAATATGTAAGTTCCTTGAGGGCATGGAATGTCTCACATCTGTATTTCTATCCCAAATGACTGGCAAAATGCCAGGTACATAGTAGACACTTAACTAATGCTTGTCGATTAATATAGCATGGAGGTAGAATTCACAAGACTTAACAATTGATTGAATGTAAAGGTGAGGAAGAGAAGAGAGTCAAGAATGATTCTGAAATTGTGAAACTGAGTGCCTGGAAAGACAGTGATGGCCTACAATAGAAATAGGAAAATTCAGCAGAGTGCAGGATCTTTGGGGAAACTAGGGAGTTCTCTTTTGGACAAATTGAATTTGGGGTGGGGAGTAGAGGCAATCAGGGTTAAGTAATTTGTGCAGGGTCACACAACTAGTAAGTTTGTGAGGTTAGATTTGAACTCAGGTCTTCCTGACTCCAGGGCCAATGCACTAACAGTTTTGCCACCTAACTGCCCCAGACCTGCTGAATTTAAGATCCCTTCAGGACATCCAGTTGGAGATGTTCAATAGGCAATTTGTGGTGTGGGACAAATGACAAATTCAGGAGACAGTCTAGAACTAGATACATGGCTTTGAGAGTCAGCTGAATAGGTAATAGTTGAACTCATAAAAACCAATAAGGTCACCAAGAAAATATAGAGAAAAAGGAGGTCTTAGGACACAGCTCTAGGGTAGAATAAGGATAATGATCCAACAAAGGAAACTGAGAAAAGGAGAACCAGGGGAAAGCATGGTAAACAAAAATCTAGGCAAAAGAGGGTGTTTATGACGAAGCTATAGTCAGCAGCATCAAATGCTAAGAAAGATGTGAAGAAAAGGTAATTAATAGATCATAGATGCAGGGAGAAGCCCAAGTTGAGTGATGAGGTTGAAAATACAATTCCAAGAGATTGAGAAGTGAATGTGAAGTGAGAAAAAAGATAAAATAAGTATTTTTTTTTTAGGGGAAGAGGGATTGTAAAAGGAAGAAGAGATAATAGTAGCCTTAAGGAAGTGGTAAGATCAAATGAAGATTTTTTTCAAGGATAGGGCAGATCTGGGTTTGTGTGTGGTTTGTCCTTCATTCTCGAAGAGGACCATGACATCAGGAAGATGATGCCATGACTTGCAAGTGACTGATTTAAATGGGGGAGGGCTGTGCAAAGTTACCAGCCTCACTTTCTCCTCCGGAGCCATATGTGTCCAGTCTGTAAGTAGTAATAGATCAGAATAGACTGAAAAGTAGAAGGAAAAGAGAGATAGTCAAAGAAGCAACCTCTTTTAGGAACCAGGAGGAGTTGAGATCAAGGGCACAAATACAGGGATTGGCATTTGTAACCAAAAAAAAAAAAAGAAAAAGAAAAGAATGGACCCCTTTCCTCCAAAGCTGGAACAATGGAGAAGAAAATGAAGGGAGATGTTGAAGTGATCTAGTGTGTAGAGTTGAAGGAAAGATGAAGTTCATGAATGTTGGCCCCATTTTTTTCAGTGAATTATTTGCTGAGGTCTTCTGCTGAGAGGGACAGAGGTTTGCATAGGAGGTTTGAAGTTAGAAAAGAAAGGTTGGGGACAGATATAGAAGGGAGGTAGAAAGTCAGTTGGGGAAGAACCAAAGGATCAGCATGCAATGAGGTCCTAGTTGAGATTACGCAATATAAATTCAGAGTGGACCCAATCAACCCAATTGTTTGGCTGCCTCCATCAGTTTTCAGCATGGCTCCCTGGAGCAGACAAGGTGGATGGTGGGAGTAGTCAGGGCTTAGGGTTTATTATAGCTCATGGGGTAAGGAGCTCAAGAGTAGAGTAAAATGTAAAGTTGAACTGGTTAACTAAATGGTTAAAATTTGGCTAGAACAGACATTCTTGAGATATCACCATTAACCATTTCTTCAAGTCTTGAAGGCTTTTTCATCTTCAAGAGTCTTATCTTAAAATTCAGGTGTAACTGCTTAAGCTGCTATGAACTGGTAACTTTATACAGTCTTTGACAGCTAGCTAAGAGCATCAAAGTCCTACTCAAGATAAGAGTCTAAGAGAAAATGTCCCAGAAAAGGATAGAGAGACATGAATAGGACAGAGAGAAATCATTGAAGACAAATTCTGTTGTATTTCAAGAATTTTGCCTACAAGGAGGTCAGTGGTAAAAAAGAAAGGCCATGTACATGTCTATCTGTCTGTCTGTCTGTCTATATATAGCAATACTTTGTAGTAGCAAAGAATTCTAAACAAATTAGATGCTCAGTGACTGGGCTAAACAAAATTTGGTACATGAATGCAACAGAACATTACTGGGCTGTAAGAAATGATGTATATAGTGAATACAGAGAAGCATGGGAAGGCTTATATGAACTGATGCAAATGGAAGTAATCTGAACCAAGAAAATAATATACTTACTGACTATAAGAATGGAGTTATTTTTCTCTTTTTCATTCTTCATGACAAGGGATGGCTCTCTTGTAGGAGGAGGATTCAGTGGGAAATATAGGGGATGTAAAAATAAACTATTAATAAAAATTACTATTTTTAAAATTGCATAGGGTGAGTAGACCTTGTCTGCTACTTTCCTGCTCTATAGTTAATACCCTGGTCTGCTGCACTTTGGTTTTACGGTCCCTTCACCCAAAGTCCTTTCTCTTTCTTCTCCTTAACGAAGCTCATCCTCCTCCCCTCTCTTACTATCTTTTTTCATCACCTCGGTTACATATCTACCACTTTGAATTCCCTTTCATCTCTATCATTCTCTGTGCCTTCTAGTTCTTTGAGTCTGTGTTCCCTTCATCTCCCATCATCTCTTATCCCTTGTCATTTTATATTCTTTAACTGTTGCTTGGAGTTGGGGGCAGGGGTGGGGGATGGAGGGAGGGAGAGAGGAAGAACTCCTTAAAGATCACTGCTGCTTTTAACCCCAGGATAGATTTCTTTTAGACTCAGGACACAGGATCCAGTGCTAAAATTCCCAGTTGAGCTAATGGATCTCACAAAAGAACAATTTACTTCCTTCTCTGGGGCAGTATTAAATCCATTATTCATTAATTCCCACAGCCATCCAATTGAATAGGATGCCAGAGGTACCATTTTGCAGGTGAAAGGAAGAAAGCGGAAGATTAAGGGATTTAGCTGAAGTCAGGCCAGAGAAAGATAGCAGAGTGGCTAGAAATAGAAAACCGATTCCAAAGATCCAATTCAGCAAATTACTGTATTCAAAGCATTCAATCCTTATCTTTCAAGATACCATACCAGGTTATAAATCCCAAAGGTATAAGAAATAAAACCCTTTTCTCTTGTTTTTTTGTGACTATGAAGATTTTTTATTGTAAAAATTTGCTTCCAGGGTAAATTTAAAGCCTCTAAAAGTCTGGTTAGGTGTAAAGTTCCTTGTTCGTTTAGGAAAAAATAATTTGAATAATGATGAGATCTCTAAGGCTTATTTCAGGTGCTAAATCTGGCTCACTGCCTAGGTTCTACATTGGAAAAGAGTGGTCTCTTAGGTAGCCATCACCATGGTAGCTTTGGCCAACAGGGATGTGTCAGCTGATGATTTCCAAATCAGAATTTCAGGTGATTGAAGACAATTTTGTTTCAGCAGGTCTGTATTTGTCACAGTTCTTTGACAAATGTAGCAAAATGTAGTTTGTTCAGTAAATATAGCATTGATTCAAAAGGCTAGAGAAAAATTTAATAGATTCTCTAATCTAACATTACATCTTGTCGTTTCCCCTACCTGCCACCCCGCCCCAGCCTTTGAAAAGCCATCTAGACTAGTTCTGACTCTTTAAGTAGAATTGACCTAACTTACACTATGCCTAATTTCTGGCCTTTACTTAAAGACCTCCAGGAAGGAAAAACATAGTCATTTACACTAACATTCATTGTTCTAATAAGTGAGGGTATAACGCACATACATTCCACCCAGCCATCCACCTGTGGCATCTCACCATTTGTTTGCCTCAGCCGACCTGCTCTTGCCCCCACCTTGAACCAGCGCTCTCCACACTGAAGCTGAGACCTGGACCTTCCTGAGTCCGTGCCCCCTGTCCCTGAGGAAGCTAATCCAGTCCTCATTTTTGGAATTCCGGACCTATGGCCCAAACCAGTTGATTATTAACTGTGTGAAAAGTAACCCACTTAGCTGTCTAATTAGCATATCTGTTGCTGGCTTCAGACACTAACCATACTTCAACTTTACATCCTTTCTAGCTGTCTACCCAAACCATCCCCTGCCACCTCTCACCTGTTCCTTCCCACATGAATCAGAACCCTACATACCAGGTATTCTAGAATCTCATCCCTCTAAACCCCCTACTCAAACACATTAGGGCAGCTAGGTGATGAAGTGGATAGAACAATGGGCCTGAAGTCAGGAAAATTCATCTTCCTAAGTTCAAATCTGGCCTCAGACACTCACTAGCTGTGTGATCTTGGGCAAGTCATTTAATCCTATTTACCTCAGTTTCCTTTCTGAAAAATGATCTGGAGAAGGAAATGGCAAACCATTCCAGTATCTTTGCCAAGAAAACATCAGATGGGGTCATGAAGAGTCAGACATGAGTGAAAAACTACTCAGCATCAACTTACACACACTACTTTCTATCTCCCCAGGGGGAAAAAATACTCCCTTCCCTGATCACCCCCCCCACCAATGTTTCTTGTCTTCCCTTATTAGAATGTAAGTTCTTGAGGATAGAAATTGTCTCTTTAAAAATATTTGTATCCCAAGGGTTTATAGTAGTGCTTGGCACATAGTAAGTGCTTAATAAATTTTTTTATTCATTTACATTTATGAGAGATATGAATTTAGACATTATATATTAAATGTGTTTGGCATCTTAATTCTTGGAGACAATTTAGAAAATATTGGTTAAAATCAAGGTGCTAAAATTTGTAGTCATAAAATCCCTGCTGGCTAGTAAATAAGTCTGCTTCTGACTACTAGAGCTAAGACAGATGAAATAGATAGACAGATGGATGATAAACCATTGAATCAGATTCAACCTTGTTTGCTAATAATCCTGATCATGTTTCTACCTCTGGTATAATAGACAACTCAAAGCCTTATGGTTAGGCTATGACATTTATTTAATAAAAACATATTCAGTAACCCCCAGGTAAAAGCATTCCTTAAAGCATTAAAAGCAGTCTCCAAAAATATAACAGTAGATAAGGATATAAAAACAGTCCACAAGGAAGTTCCCCAGGGATTTGGGATTTCTGCTCCAAAGTCCTAGGGACTGTCTATATTCTTTTGGCCCCAAAGGGCCCATAACAGGCTCTCCAATCAATCTACCTGAAGGCAAAGGTAACTCAAATTATCCTCCAGTTCTGTTCCACTTCATCTTGGCTTATACCAGTAGTTGATGTTGTGGGAATGTTGAGGTTACCTAAAGTTTCTCCAATTCTGTTTGAATCCTGTCCTACGATAGGAAGTATTACCATTACATGATTTTTGCCAACAGGTAATACATTTTTTTCAGCCACAGCAACTCATGAAAAGTCTACCAGAATATAGAGTTAAAGTCTTCTCTCTTCATCACTGCATTGAGGAATCCTACCACTGAAATAACAGATTCTTAAAGTGTTATAAATTTAGTATTAGTATGGCTATGTTTAGGGGATGGTAGAATTTAGAATACCTTAGTAGGTATTTTTAAAAAAATTTTTTTCAATTCTTTGTTCTTTGTATTTGTTTCCAGCAAATGCCTTTTGAATTCTTAATGTTTAAGAATTTAACATTTGATATCATCAAATATCTGGGGTTAATTACAGCTCATAAAAGTGTTAGCAATTAACATATAACTTTTGCCTATAGGATTTGGGAAATTTATAATTCCTTAAATTTTAAATCCTTGACAAGCATATTTTATCTTTAGAGAGGAATTAAACAGTGGGTACAAATTAATAACAGCTCACATTTCTACAGGGCTTTAGAACTACAAAATGTTAGTATTATGACAACCCTAAGAGGCAGTGGGAGTATTATTAGCCCCATTTGATATAAGAAGAAATTAGGGCTCAGAAAGATGAAATGGCTACATAGACATCAGAGACAGGCCTCTAACCCAGGGCTCCCTCCCAGCCCAGTACTCTTTCTGTCACACAATAGATGGAGAAGGCTTGAAAGTAAGGTTAAAAACCTAACAAGACAAACCAGTACCTGAGCGGTAAAGGATCCAGTGATCCCAGTCTGAATCAGTCAGTGTGGGCTCAGCATTACTTTGCTTTGAATTATTCTTTGATTGCTTGCTCTATCTTTTATTTATATATTTTTGTTTGTTTAGGGTAAAAGAGTAAAGATGAGGAAATCTTAATTTTTCATTTTGTAGGAATTATATTAACATTGAAGGTTACTTTGTGTTTCGGCCAATATAATAATAATATTAGCTAGGTCAGAGGAGAACCAGGAGAGAGTAGTACCCTGAAAATCTAGAGAAGAGTTTCAAGGAGGAGAGGATGATCAACAGTGTCAAAAGCTTCAGAAAGGAAGAAGAGAAGCAAGGATTAAGAACACAAATATGTAGTGGATTCTGTCAGAATGACTGCATGATTTTCTCTATCTTCATTAAGCAGTACTCTGGTAATGGTGAGAGTGATCCTAGGCTGAGGCTTGTCAGGGTGAAATTGGTGAGATGATAAAGAGATTTGAGAGAGAACAGGGTGAAGTTGAATTGGTTCACCAATGGATCAAGATGAGGAGAGAGCAGCTACTACAAACTTTAGGGTTTATAAAGCATTTTAGATATATTAGCTAATTTGATCCTCCCAAGTGACCAGGAATTGAGGTACAGAGAGGTTAAGTGATTTGCCCAGGGTGACATAGCTAGTTAATATCTGGAGTAGGATCTGAACTCAGGTCTTCCTGATTCAAGTCCTACTCTCCACCCATTGCATCATAGCTGGTTGTTGTAAGTTGTTTCAGTCATGTCTGACTATTCATGATCCCATTTGGGGTTTTCTTGGCAAAGATATTAGAGTGGTTTGCCATTTCCTTCTCCAGCTTATTTTACAGCTGAGCAAACCGAGGCAAAAAAGGTGTAAGTGACTTTCCCAGGGTCAGTCACACGGGTAGTGAGTATCTGAGGCCAGATTTGAACTCAGGAAAATGAGTCTTCTTGACTTCAGGCACAGCACTCTCTGCACTGAGTCACCCAGCTGCCCTAAGCATCAGGGCTAGTTGGTTGCCTTTTAACATCACCTGGAGGTACTTGCAGATACTGGCTATATCGCCAACTCTAGGATAGACATATATTCATTCACCACGGCTTTTGAAAGAACACCCACTATTACAATTGAGAATTATATACTCAGTGAAGGAATACTTGCTCCTTGTAGGAGAGGAAATGTGCTGATTCAAGTTTTGTCTTTTCCTTCTTCAAAACTTCCTTATTTAGTGAGAAAAATGACTGCAAAAATTTCAGAAATCCTGAATTCTGACTTTTTATAAAAAAAAGTGTAGATTGAATACTAGGCTTTAGGCTTTGGTCTACATATTTTGAGAAAATGAGAACAAAGCACTTTGTTTATAGATTAATTCATAGAATTCTTGAATTGTACTCCTACTTCTTAATGTTCAAAAAATACTTGCTTTTATATACTACACTCAACTTTTCTGACTCTTGATGAGTATTTTACCTAGCTTTACCCATACTTGAGTTTAACTAATTTTTACCCTACTCTGCATACGTAGAGCTCATTTTCCTTTTTCAGATATACTAACTTATTAAATTCCTTCTCTCATTGTTTCTGACAACAATTTTCCAAGGTCACTTCAGGTTCTGACTCTGTTCTAATATGGTAGCTTCTCTCTGGGATTCAACCACATCAGCACCATCTGTACATATAACGAATCTTCACCTGTGTGAATGTTGAAAATGTTAAACTCAATGGAATTGTAAGAAATGAGCTCAATGATCTTAGAAAAACATGAAAAGACTTGCCTGAAATAATGAAGAGTGAAATGAGCAGAACCAAGAGAACATTAAATACAGTAACAGCAATTGTTTTAAGAACAGCTTTGAGCAACTAAGTCATTTTGACTATTATAAATATACATATTAACTATAAAGGACATATGAAGAAAGGTGCTATCTACATCCAGGAAAGAACTGATGAATAGAAGTATGGATAGAATAATTTTACATGTATACACATTGTACACACACACACACACACACACACACACACACACACACACACACACACATATACCTATTTGTGTGTAATGGTAGCAATTTCTAGGAGAGGGGGAAGGGGAGGAGGAGAGAAGAAAAAAAGGGAAAATAATTTACATGATAACTTTATTACATGTTTAAAAGGAATAGCAAGTTGTACTTAAGAGATTCGCAGTCATGTGTAATCTTTTTTTATAATACTATATTATAGAAATGTTTTTTTAATTCCATAAGTTAAAAATAAAATTAACTTTAAAAAAAAGAAAATGTTAAACTCTGGAGAGGGACTGGACCCCTACAGAACTACTTGTTACCTATCTCTAGGTAGATATTGGTCCACTAAAAACCACTTTCAGGGTAAGACTCTCTACTCAGTGGACAGACACCTAAAAGTCATGTGGTCAAGAACATAAAAGAGGTAAGCATTTACACAGTTTATTGACCAATCTGTGAAATAGGACAAAATTAAAACTATGCTGAAGTCAAAACATATGAAATCTACTACTTTCTTCTGACATCTACTTGTCCTGCTTGCCTAAGATCAACCCTCAATTGAGTATATCTAGTATGGGGGAAAGTATATACTAATTTCAGAGTCAGGAGATGAGAAATACAGTTTTTATTCGAGACAATCAACAAAACAATAAACAAAAGGAGCTCTGATTTATAGCATGTGCTGATTTCTGAGGTGTAAATGCTTTAGCATACCCTTACGTGGAAATGCCCTGAGAGGTCATCTAATTCAATCCCCTTAATCTGAAGATGAAGAATTTATGCCCAGGAAAGTTAAATATTTTGTTCGTGGTCACACAAGAAGTGTAGGAGACAGGATTTAAACTCAGGTCCTCTGAGTCAAAGGACAATATTCTTTCTAATCCTCCACACATACTCAGCCACAAACCTCAGTCAAAATACTTAACCATTCTGGTTCTCCGTTTCCTTTTCTTAGCTGTAAAAATGAATGGGTTGGAGCAGATTTTATGTAAAGATTAGTATGGTTCTGTGGAAAGATGGCTGGCTTTGGAGTCAGGGAGCCTAAGTTCAGATCTCAATCCTGTTACTCACTA